TCATCATCCTCATCATCCTCATCATCATTCATCATCCTAATCATCATCCTCATCCTAATCATCCTCATCCTCATTCATCATCCTCCTCATCCTAATCATCCTAATCATCCTCATCATCCTCCTCATCATTCATCATCATCCTCATCCTAATCATCCTCATCCTAATCATCCTCATCCTCATCATCCTCATCATCCTCACCATCATCCTCATCCTCATCCTCATCATCATTCATCATCATCCTCATCTCATCATCCTCACCATCATCCTCATCATCATCATCATCATCATTCATCATCATCATCATCATCCTCACCATCATCCTCATCATCATCATCATCATCATTCATCATCATCATCATCATCCTCACCATCATCCTCATCATCATCATCATCATCATTCATCATCATCATCATCATCCTCACCATCATCCTCATCATCATCATCATCATCATTCATCATCATCATCATCATCCTCACCATCATCCTCATCATCATCATCATCATCATTCATCATCATCATCATCATCCTCACCATCATCCTCATCATCATCATCATCATCATTCATCATCATCATCATCATCCTCACCATCATCCTCATCATCATCATCATCATCATTCATCATCATCATCATCATCCTCACCATCATCCTCATCATCATCATCATCATCATTCATCATCATCATCATCATCCTCACCATCATCCTCATCATCATCATCATCATCATTCATCATCATCATCATCATCCTCACCATCATCCTCATCATCATCATCATCATCATTCATCATCATCATCATCATCCTCACCATCATCCTCATCATCATCATCATCATCATTCATCATCATCATCATCATCCTCACCATCATCCTCATCATCATCATCATCATCATTCATCATCATCATCATCATCCTCACCATCATCCTCATCATCATCATCATCATCATTCATCATCATCATCATCATCCTCACCATCATCCTCATCATCATCATCATCATCATTCATCATCATCATCATCATCCTCACCATCATCCTCATCATCATCATCATCATCATTCATCATCATCATCATCATCCTCACCATCATCCTCATCATCATCATCATCATCATTCATCATCATCATCATCATCCTCACCATCATCCTCATCATCATCATCATCATCATTCATCATCATCATCATCATCCTCACCATCATCCTCATCATCATCATCATCATCATTCATCATCATCATCATCATCCTCACCATCATCCTCATCATCATCATCATCATCATTCATCATCATCATCATCATCCTCACCATCATCCTCATCATCATCATCATCATCATTCATCATCATCATCATCATCCTCACCATCATCCTCATCATCATCATCATCATCATTCATCATCATCATCATCATCCTCACCATCATCCTCATCATCATCATCATCATCATTCATCATCATCATCATCATCCTCACCATCATCCTCATCATCATCATCATCATCATTCATCATCATCCTCATCCTAATCCTCATCATCATTCATCATCATCCTCATCATCATCATCCTCATTCATCAGCATCATCCTCACCATCATCCTCATCATCCTCACCCTCATCCTCCTCATCCTCATCATCCATCAGCAGCAAACTGCAAGTGTTTATCTCACACAAATGACCTTTCACACAGGCCTGAACTTACATTAATTTTACATGGCTTTCTAAACATGCAGGTTTCTTGTGCGAGACACGAGTGTAACGGTGATAGATGTCCCTCTAGAACTGTGCTTCTTAACCTTTTTTACTCCGAGGTCCACCTCCTCTCCGAATTAAGTCATGAATAAGCCTCAGGCTGAAGGAAATGTAAATAAAAAAAATTCAAACAAACCATTCAGCTGTGCTGCCATTCTGGATTGCATGAAGAACACTCTTCAGCAATAAAAATAAATATAACATAGATGTTATGTTTATCTAAAGTCATTTTTGCTTAATAGTATGGTTGATTTGGATCATCGAAGGTCAGCAGCAAAGACACTGGTTAATAAAATTGGATTAACTACATAAAGGATATTTGTGTTATTTAGCACAGTGGTCCTCAACATTTTTTACTCCAAGGCCCCTCTCCTCTCTGAATCAATACTGCAAGGCCCCCCAACCTTTTCTATTCACAAAAACCTTTGTATTCTCGTGTTATTACTTTTCAATTCCATTTAATTATTTTTAAACAAAACAAATTCCAAGATAGATTTAAACATTCAGTTTTCTTTTTTGCAAACATACTTTATATGCGTTCTGTGTGAACGGCTTGGTTTTTATTTAAAATTCGACGAATATTCGAAATTCAAATTTTTTTTGACATCCCTAGTTTACATCAGAGTGCACACGCGTCTTTAACGCAGCATACAGCGGTGTTGTGCATTGTGACCAGTTGATGGAAAAAGTATTCTAAAAATGCATTCAAAATTCTGAATAATTTGGAATAAATAATTATTCTCGGTATTTTGAAGTGCCCACGATAACAATTTCGTGCATGTTCATTATCGTGATATATCGCATTACAGAATACCGGCACATGTTTATATGACAGTTTGACTTCGTTGAATAAACATGAGCACTGCACGTTTCAAAATTAAAATGCGGCACGGTTGTTTTATATGAATATATCTCTGAAGGGAACCGATAGTCTTCAGACTTTCATTTTATCTGATAAAGTAGCGTTCATGAGCGGAGCTCTGCTTTGTTTACAGCCGTTACCGAGGAAACCACTGTTTCTGCTGCTAAAAAAGCGCCTCCTGCAGGCAGAGAATGAATTTGCATTTTCAATAAGCCAGTCTCCAGCAACATGTGTTTTTGTTGTTGATTTTGTTCCAATCTATAAGAATAATCAGCGTATGTTATACTGCGTATAGGTTACAGATCAATAAATTATTAATAAGGTGAGACTGACAGTCTTATGTTTATTTGATGGTGATTTCACATTTCTTGTTTGTATGAAGGCTAAATACAAAAAAAAAGGTGAACATTAATTTATTTGTACTGTTTTTTTTTTCTAAAATATATTATATAGTTTTATAGGAGGAGATTTCATATACTTGGCAAATTAATTTCTCAGTTTGTTGGTACAGACAGCAGAATCAGAATTAGCTTTATTTGCCAAATGTGTGCAGACACACAAGGAATATGTTGTGTTTTTTTAAGGAGCTCTTGGTACATACAGTACATGCATACATATATGACATGAGAAAAGAAAAAACATTTAAATAAGAATAAAGTGAAAAGAGAAAAAAAAACAATAAATAACGGATGAATCTGGAACAGATTTGTGCATTATTTAATCTATATACAGTTGTATAAATAAAAAAAATATGCATATGTATTTGCATAGTACTTGAGAGGGAGGCAATAATTGTGAATTACAGAAAAACAGGTTAGCTGTTTAAGATGGATATGGCATGGGGGAAAATGTTTCTAGTGCATAGACAACAAAGGGGGAAAAAAGCCTCTTGGCAGGCTTTTTTAAAATATTGTTCATATTAATATCGGAATTATATTTTATCGACCAAAATTAAAAAATTATATTGTGATATAAATTTTGGCCATATCGTCCAGCCCTACATCTCCTTAAACTTTAAAGTAATAAACATAAGAGTAATAAAAGAGATGCTTACAGGCCACTTTGAGCGTCAGGCCCAGTTCACTGATGAGCTGCAGATCTCTGTCCACTGTCTCCAGCACCGGATCGATCAGAACGGCCTCTCGGCTGTCAGCATCCGCCAGCAGGTACGTGTATGTGCTGCTCTCAGACTCAAAGAGCTACAGGAACAACAACAACAGCAGCAGAGACTCGCTCAGTCAGCGTGAGTCCGCTGAAGCATTCCACTCATATCTCTCCATGCAGTGGATCAGGTTACTGACAAAATCATCACCGCAACTACTGTCTCTGGCAGCATACCACAGTAAAACACTGCTAATGTGCTATTAGTGACCCCTGATAGCACAAAAAACAATAAATAAATAAAAATAAAATATGCTCATTTAATTTGGTTTTTGTGGCCCCTGTAGTAAAACACTGCTAATGTGCTATTAGTGACCCCTGATAGCACAAAAAACAATAAATAAAAATAAAATATGCTCATTTAATTTGGTTTTTGTGGCCCCTGTTATAAATAATAACTAAATAAATATTAAAGTAATAGGCTAATAATAAATTGTGTTAATTTGGTATTAGGGACCCCTGATATCACACACAAAGTATATCAATAAAATGTACGAACTTGGCTTTAGTGAGCCCTGGTATCATTTTTTAAAAAGTGTGTATATATATATAAAAAAATAAAAAAGTGCTAATTTGCTACTAGTGACCCCCTATACACACACACATATATATATATATACTGTACAGTGTACACACACACACACACACATATATATATATATATATATA